TTGAAAAACATGTTTCAGTCGATCTTATTTGTATTCATAGGCATTTGTAAGTGAAACAAATGTTATTTTTTGGTTTATTTGGATCAACAATGTTCACTACTGTTAAATTTTGGCAAGTCCCTTATGCGCACTTATGGCTGCATTTATTTAATCAAAAAATACTTTAAAAACTGTAATCCTCTAAATTATTACCATTTAAAATAACAGTTTTCTGTGTTAACATATATTGTTAATATGTTTTGATAATGTTAAAATAGTTTTTAATGTAATTTATTCCTGTGATGCAAAGCTGATTTTTTAGTAGCATTACTCCAGTCTTCAGTGTCACATGATCCTTCAGAAATGAATTTTAATATGCTGATTTATTTCTTAAGAAAAATTGTTTATTATCATCAATGTTGAAAACAGTTTTGCATAATATTTTGATGAATGTCACTTTTCATCAATTTAAAGCAATTTAAAGCATCCTTGATGAATAAAAGTAATAATTCCATAAAAAAAAAAAAAGCAGAACCCAAACATGATCAACATATTGTATAGAAAGCATCAAAACCTTTTCACAGCTTCATAAATCCTCAGGAACTGCAGGAACCTCTGTGAGATTCATAATTTCAGCATCTAAGATCCCCAAAGCATCTGTAAACATTCATAAAGCAACAAGTGATTCACTGTATATCTGAGTTGTGTGCCTGGGTACGGACATGGTCTAGTTTGCCAGAAGTAAAACATTAGTCACCCATAAGTATTAATCTTAATCTCTACTGCACGGCTTTTTTTGTTTTTGTTTTTACAACCATGGTTATCAAAGTAATGTAAAACACTCATAAATGTATAAAAAAGGAAACATTTCCAGCCCTCATGTTCCCTCCTCCACTGCCAGGTTCAAATCTGCTCCATTATCTTAGTCTGTATGACAGTCAGGCATTGCATGTTGCATAATGGCAGTTACAAAAGCTTAGACCTCAAACCAGATGATTTATGAATGCACCAAGCTTTCTCTATATCCATATAAACTATATGAAGTAGTTGACTACAGCTCTGATGCCCGTCACTGTAATGCTGTTCTTTGTGCATCTGAAGGAGCACAACTGGAGTACTTGTCTTGGGCTATTTTCATTTATCTCCGTGAAGTCGAGCATTAATATTTTCTGAAACTCTGCCTTACCAAAACCGTATTTTTTTTTCTTTTATTAGATTCAGAAATGTTTAATAACTTTCAGCGCATCGTAAAAAAAATGATGTGCAGTTTCTACATCTGGCAACATTTTCAGGCTATATAGGTGACAAACCTGGACATGTGTGAGATTTTGGCACATTTGGATATTAGATGCAGGTAATATGCTATCCAAAATGTACTAGAGCCACACTTTACATATGGACATATATAATGGGATCGCATTGTGTTATTAAAATAGTTTTGAAATGTAAAGTTAAAACACTACTAGTTAAAAATCTCTTTCTGGGAATTTATTTCATTTTTGACAACAAGAAGCAAGCATTTTGGTGTTGCCTTAAGTGCATGTTTTAAGTGCAAACGATACAAATAATGGTGGTTATTTAACTTTTCTTTATGAATGAGCATTCAAATAACATTTTGAATGTTTGCAGTTTCCAGAAAGTTACTATGATAGAATTCAATCTTTGGCCCACATTTGCAATGAATTCTTCAATCCGTGATCGATGTGAGAAGACTTGCGTTTAATTCATTAGCAAACACCAGTATATGCCTTGAGCAGTCCTCCCTATGACCTCTTGTTATTGCCGATGTTCTTATTATAGCATGCTATGAATGAAGAGAATTAAAGATGAATGATAGATTTTCAGGGTTCTGCTCAAAGCCTGAACTTGAGCAATCCTGTCGCGAAGCCCTGTATGAAAACACGTCACACTGGTGGCTCATCTCGTTAAGCATATGGTGCTGCAGCTGTGATGGCTTCAGGAAGTTATGATCTTGTTCATGCGGTGAATCACAGCAAGCATCAACAAAAATGCCTGAGGAAGTAAAAAACAGCTTGTTTCAGTCTGATACATTTCAGTGGAAGTTCCTAACAAAGCTGCTGTTGATTGATAATCAACTAACAACAGCATAAACATTTAGTTATTGACTCTGTAACATATGCAAAGCAGATGGAGTATTGAAAGTACGCTGATGTATGTGAAGACATAAATAGATTAGAAGACATAATTGTAGCGTATTATATGCATTGTGTGTATACAGTAATATAAGGAATTGATACAATTATAATTTATTCATTATAAAACTATGAATCACCCCAACAATGATAATCATAAGAAATGGTTGTTGAGCAGTAAATCAGCATATTAGAATGATTTCTGGAGGATCATGTGACACTGAAGACTGGAGTAATGATGCTGAAAATTCAGCTTTACCATCAAAGAAATAAATTACATATTAAAATACATTCAAACAGAAAATAGTTATTTTAAATTGCAATCCCATTTCACAATATTACTGTTTTTACTGTATTGTTGTAGCATAGCATTAAAAAAATAAATATGAATTTTAATTTAAATTTCAGGATGAATCTGAATTTGAATAAAACATTATTTTCATTTTACGGCTGCTAAATTGTTGATATTAAAATTGAATATGGTCTAAATAATAATAATAATAATAATAATAATAATGATTCATTGTATTTTAAATAATAAATTAATTATAATTTTTAAATCACATAAATTAATTTTGGTATGGCAACATAATAATAATAATAATAATAATAATCATAATAATATTAATAATAATTAGTTTAATTATAAATGATAAATTAATTATAATTATTAAATCCCATAAATTAATTTTGGTATTGCAACATAATAATAATAATAATAATAATAATAATAATAATAATAACAATAATAATAATAATAACGCCGCTTCTCACTTTCAGTGAAATTATTAGCAAAAATCAAGATTATTAGACGCCATCTAGTCTATGTCTAAACTCGATAGTCCACTGCAAGCCATTCCTGATAATAAAAGCTATGCAAAAGCAACATTAGATAACGTAACAATATCCAACAAACAATCCATGTCATTTTGGATGCTTTTATTTTGTAGGAGAGATTGGGGAAGTTGTCACATGGGAGCTGTTCTCTCGCTAGCTTTAAGGTTTTCAGTCAGAAATACAAAATGCGTTTTAGCACAATATTAGTGGTATTTTCCATCAGTGTCATCAAGTTTATTCATTAAAATATCTGCTGATCAAAAGAATGGCTTTATATTTTTGAATGTTTTTTTTTTTTTGCTTAATGGCTAAATGAATTGATGTTGAATTGTTTTACTGTCTAAATATTAATTAACTACTGTCTAAGTATTACAGAATTGGAAATGATAGCAGTTTTGTAGCCATAAATTTAAAGTATCTGTTTATACCATTTTTTTTTTTTTTTTAAATAAACCAATTCTAGAAATGTTGAGTAAAAAGGGTGATAACTAGCCCTGGTTTCCATATGAATAAATTATATTGGTTTAATCACTGGAGGTGGAGGTAAAAAAAAAAAACCCATAAAGGACAAATAAAGCAAAACACAAAAAATACAATTAAAATAAATAAATAAATATTTTGTGTAATTCTTATCCATAATCCCTGAAGTCTCCAAGCCAGTTGTCAAATATAAAATTACTAATTAATAATACACATATACATAATTTTATGTATACTTAATTCTACTACTACTATTATTATTTTGTAATTTATGAATCCTTTAACATACACATACAGGTGCATCTCAATAAATTATAATGTCGTGGAAAAGTTCATTTATTTCAGTAATTCAACTCAAATTGTGAAAATGTAACAGCGAAGTTCTAATTTTGAGCTCTTGATATCTGGTAACCGCACACATGAACGCTCTAGATGCGTGGTCTTGTACTGCAGTATGTGTAAATAAGTACACTACTACTACTACTACTACTGTTATTGTAATTATTAATTTATTTCCTTTCCTAGACTCAAGAAAACAGCACATCAGTATCTAACAAAGGAGGTGAAATTAGCTTAGTGGGGGAAAAAAAGTCAGTGATCACAGACTAAGTAGAGTTTTAAACCTTTGTAGTTATTTTTTTGTACTTTTAATGGGGGGAAACCTAATTTGCTAATTAACAAAAGGAAGATTTTTTAGGCTCCACGAGTTTCAAGCTAATGTCTCTGGCAAAAGTAATAGATCTAATTGAAAACCGAGAGGTCTGTAAGGCTTTTTGGCCATTATCTTGACAATTTTTTACACAAAGCGAGCTCACACCTACTTTACAGGTGCTTAACAACCCATCCCCAACAATGATGCCTTAATTGAACCACTTAAACCTCTACTAAGAGAGACGTGTGCACATGAATGATGCTTTTAATTAGACCGCTAAACTCCAGCTTGTTTGTCGATGTTTTCATATCAGCGTCCGCGGCGCTTCAGCAATGAGGAGTGAGCGCGTGCGAATGGTTGCCAGATTGCTTAAAATAAGCAAAACACCGGGCAGAAAATGTATCCATGTAACAGCGAAGTTCTAATTTTGAGCTCTTGATATCTGGTAACCGCACACATGAACGCTCTAGATGCGTGTACTGTAGAGCAGTATGCAATAACATTTGTCTCCTTTTTTGACGAAAATAAAAATAGGTTTTTGGTAAAGTTTTTAATTTTTGAATACATTTTAGTCTCGTCTTATTTCATTAGCGAAATTGCATGTTGATATAGTCATAGTTATCGTTTATTGACCTTATTATCGTCTCGTCACGTTAGTCATGGCCAAAAACCTCGTCAACGAACATTTTCCGTCATCGTCTTGTTCGTTAACGAAATTAACGCTAGAACCAGAGGACGGTAACATCTACAGAATGTAGCCTATCATGGCACATCCAGGGAGAATGCTGAAAAAAGTCTCTGGCTTCAAGCAGTCTTCTGAAAAACGCATGCTTGGACGTGGTGTCTGCCTCAGCCGAGATCTAGAGAAGGCTTCCAGATATCCTCTGGTCTGGATTTACCTGAGAACGAGAGAGTGGTCAATGTTGGGAGAGTAAAGAAGATTGACCGTCAACTTCATCCAATGCAGAATATCTGGCATGATCACGGGTACGACACTGCATGGTGTCCTCCAAAATGTGGCATGGTGCCAAGTGGTCTTGAAGAAAACTGTCTGGGATCCAAAACGTATCACAGATTTAATTTATCCAGTGAAGGAGGAGCAAAGTGCTTGAAGAATCTTCTGAAGATGTTGAACAGGTTAAACCAGTAAAACTCTTTGAAACGTACATTTTTTATGGTTCCAATGTTTTATCCCAGTACGCAATAGTGTGTTGAATACAAAGTGTGCATTCAGGATCAAAACACATATTTGTACATACAAATTTGTGCATTATACAATGACGTTTACTTGGTTACTGGGAAAAGTTGAAGTGTACTTGGAATAAACCAGCAACAACAATAGATTTATTCTGTTACATAAACACTTTTATTGTACTATATGCATGTGATTGAAATGAAGAAATAACATAAAATAAATGACAGCTGAAAAATGAACCCTAAAAATGAGTAAAATAACATGTTAAGATTCTATAGGTTTTCTGAAGCTCTCCCTGGCACACCACCAGGAGTCTCAATCTCCACTGGGTCTCCATGCGGAGGTCTTAGACAGGAATCGTTTTTTTCCACCGGCACTCTCTGGAACCAGAACGAGAGTGGATTATTCCCTTGATTCCGTCTGCAGCAGCTCCATTCTCTGGTTCTTGCTCTTCACGCTTTCACCGAACCTAGTCCCCACAGTGTTAGCCAATTTTAGACCTACCGGTATTTCAAATTTGTCTTTTATCACTAAGATTCTGGAGAAAATTGTCTTACAGCAGTTGCAGGGTTTTCTAGCTGATAACATGATTTTTTAAAATTTTCAATCTGGTTTTAAAAAATATTAATAAATTAAATGTGTTTCACAAATTCGAACATCTGGGTTGTGCTGTTCTGTTGTAAATAAATCTTAACCAATGATTCCTAATTGCATCTACTTCCGGAAGGCCAAATAAAGTGCTTTTGCTTTCGCACTGAAACACACAGCGTCTCACTGACATGGCTGCATCAACACTACTGCTGTTCCTGAAACCACGCCTTCTTTTTTTGCGTGCACATTTGGGTGGCATTATGCTAATATTTCCACATAGTGAGGTAGATATGTGGGGGCGTGTTAGAATGAGCAGTTTTAGGTAGGCATTGCTGACTCTTAACTTTTATAAAGAATATCTCTTTGGATTTGAGACTTTAGTCTTTGCAACTTTACAGATCTTCTTTATGCACCAAGAGCTTGTAACACTCCAAAGAGAAAGGAAAAATTGAAATCGCATCATATGACCCCTTTAACATTGGAGATTATTTTTCTAGCGATTCTTTATCATGTGGGGTTCCTCAGGGATCCATTTTGGCTCCCATTCTTTTTTCTTTTCATGCTCCCACTGTTCTGTTTTTAGGAAATATGGGCCGTCATTCCACTGTTATGCTGATGACACCCAAGTTTATCTGCCCTTAAAAAAGAAATTCAGACCATCTGGACACTCTCATGACCTGCTTGTCAGATGTAAAGGCCTGGCTGTCTCTAAACTTTCTGAATTTCAATGAGAGTAAAACGGAAATTATTGTATTCGGACCAGTGGTGGACAGTAATGTTTTACTTCGTTACTTTAGCCTACTTAAGTACATTTTTCAAGTATCTGTACTTTACTGGAGTAGTTTTATTTTGAGTAACTTTTACTTTACTCCACTACATTTTGTAAAACATATCGTTACTCTTTATTTTGAAGTGAAGAAATCATCACGTGCTCTGAGACCCAAAAGCGGTGTCCGATTCATGAACAAACTTATTCATTTTCAATGAACCTGATAAATCGGTTCACAAATCGCACTAAACAATTTATTTGAGAATTGGGCTGATCCGATTGCAGCTGCAAGAAATCCTTTATTCTTAAAAATAATAAAAAAAGCAGTGCATCCACAATTTCTTTTAATAATAATAACCACACTGCACATTTGGCATAAATTATATCAATGATCTAAATCCAACGGGGATCCAAAACACAGTCTTCCTCAAGGCCACCTGACACCATTTCACAGTTTGGAAGGCACCAGGAAGTATCGTACATGTGATCATGCCAGGTTTTCTGCATTGGATGAACTTGGTAGTCGATTTTTTAAACTCTCCCTACACTGACCTTCACAACATTGACCTGCACTCTAATAACAACCCTTTCATGCTTATACAAGGGATTAGGGTATCTGCTGGCCTTGTTGAGATCCCAGCTGAGGTAGATGCTACATCCCAGCATGTCATCTAGAGTTCGTCGAAAGCTGAAGTCTCCTGTTTTACTTGAAGGGATAGTTCTCTGAACTTTTCTGATTTGTTACTTTTGCATGAATATAAAATGTATTATTTATTATAACTTTTATGTACAAAAAGTTATATGTACATATTTATTGTATCAATTATTTCAATAAAACACTGTCTAACTGTTTTGTCCCTTCTTTAGTCATTTTATAATCAATGACATGGGTTCATACTTTATAATTAGGAACTTAATGATAACCGGCACATCTAAAAACTTTTGAACTCCCACTTAAGTGCATCTGATAAAGCTGACACACTCTTTGCAAGAATGCTGTGGGCTGGCAGAGAATTTAAACTTATTTTTAGTTGTGCCTCCAATCCAAGAACTTTCAATATATTTAAATTTTAAATTAGACACATATAAATGTTAGTGCTTACATAGAATAAAATTGCTGCGTCAAATTAAGTGTAAATATGTAATCAGAGAAACAACAAAAACTACAGTACATTTTACTCTTGCTGCTTCAGGAGATTGCAATTTTTCTTTATGGCCTCATAAAACCTTTACTGCTGTGTCATAGGTTTCAGCTCATTGGTTAAAGGTGTGTCCAAGATTAGACTGAATCAGACTGAATTTGTCATCGCAGAAGTAAGTAACATATCCGACTATTTGTGATTATTTAAACAAATGTTCTCATATTCTGCCAAATGTACAGACTACCAAATGTACAGTATTCCTTTGTACTGACTTCCCTCCCTATTTCTACTGCTCTATAACCAAACTTGAACATGAAAACTGTTTGTAGATTTGTTATTTTTTGTCTTAAGGTTTAAACATGTGGGCAGAGAGTGACTTGTATCCAGGTGTGCCGTGCCTTCAAAGCACTACAGAGCCTGTGAATGGTAATGTATACCGAATGTATCACGGCACCACTGAAAGAGCAGCACAACAGATCAAAATCTCTGGCTTTCAGCCATCTGCAGATGGCATGCTGGGACGTGGCGTCTACCTCAGCCGAGATCTTAACAAGGCCAGCAGATACCCAATTGAAAAGCCATGTGAGAGAGTTGTTATCAGAGTGAAGGTCAATGTTGGGAGAGTGAAGAAGATTGACCATAAACGTCATCCACTGCAGAAAACCTGGCATGGTGAAGGGTACGACACTGCCTGGTGCCCTCCAAACTGTGGCATGGTGACCAGCGGCCTTGAAGAAGACTGTGTTTGGGATCCGAATCGAATCACTATTATTGATGTAATTCCACCAAGCCTTCAAAGCAGGGAAAATCCAGTTGAAGGTAAATAATACACAATGTTTTATGGTACATCTAAAGAAGAAGCAGAAAAAATGAAAGCTTATGGCTTTTGTGAGTCTAATGGCATTCTTGGGCGTGGAGTCTACTTCAGCCGAGATGTACAAAAGGCCTTTAATGTCCCTGAGCATGTTCCTGAACAGCAGAGAAGTGTTCTGAGAGTGAAGGTTAATGTTGGGAAAGTGATCAAGATTGATTATCAAGGTCACCTAATGCAAACAATCTGGCATGATCAAGGTTATGACACTGCCTGGATCACCCCAAACTGCGGCATGGTGTCAAGTGGTCTTGAGAAAGACTGTGTTTGGGATCCAAGACGAATCACAGTCATTGATGTAATTCGTCCAAATTAAGGAGTATGTGCTGTTTGTTATGAGCAATGAAAAACCTAATATATGTTTTATAAGGAAATATAATGTTTTATTAAGAATGATCATTATACTGTGCTGACTATGTCTTACAAGCATTTCTGAGGCTGAGGCTAAAATCATTAAAAATAGGCCTATACTGTAAACATTTTTAGTTGCCTTGTAATTTTGAGTCATATACATACCTTTTTTACTTGTTCACTCTTTGTTCATTAATGGCAAAAACAAACATGTACAAGTTGAGTAGTGATTTCTTTTTTATTTGATTTAATAGTCTTTTAGGGACTTCAATTTTTTAGATTGTAAAAATAAACATTCAAAATCTATTACAATGTAAGACTAATAAATAATGTTACATTCATTTACAATTCTTTTAATATCATTTCCTGTGGCTTTAATTATTCTTATCTTTTTGTTTGTATTGTGTAATTGTCACTTGTGATCCCTCATGAAAGATCAGCCTCCTCCGTGTGCATGAAGACGTACATAGACTTTAAAACTGTGATTGGCATTTGGCAACATGTGTTGATTTGATCTTTTTGAGCATCTCATCTGTGTTTATTGTTCTTTACCGTGACCGTTTTAGACTCCAACAGTCATAGCTAGTTTCCGGTTTCCACTAGTTTAGGTGGAGCATTTATAGGAAAACAGACCTGTAAAGTAAAAATGAAACTAAAACTTGTTGTACAGTACACTTGAATTAGATCTCTTTTTTTTTCAAATGTAATAAACTGGGAGAGAAAGTTTCTTTTCAATTTGATTTTTTTTATAATTTGAATTTGAATGAAACATAGTATAAAATAAATAATTATTCTATTTATTCTAATATAATATTTCCTATTGTGCAGAGATACCAAAACATTTTTCATATAAATCAGTGCAGTTTCTGCTTGATTTGATTTCAGTTTGATAAAAATCATTAAACCTCTAAAAGGGACAGAAATCACACCGTTTACTTCAGACTTATCAATATATTGGGATTGGATAATCATAGTATGGGTCTCTTTGCTTTTGAAGAATACAAAGAAACAACACACTTTTGTGTTGTTTCTTTGATTAAAATGATTAATTTCATAACAC